CCTCCTCGTCCTCGTTCTCCTCCTCCTCCTCCTCCTCCTCCTCCTCCTCCTCCTCCTCCTCGGGCTCCCCCTGCGGCGGCAGGACGGTGCCCCCGAGGGCTCCAAGACAACCAAGGGAGCTCGACAAAAAACCGCTACAGACCGCTCTACCCCCTCTGTTCGGCACGAACGAAATGGGTACGGAAAGAATGGGCACAATGCCCAAAAACAGTTCTTATTCATATTGAACAAGACTCGCTGTCCACGCCGCCGCGGCCTGTGTCCATTCGAGACAGAAGGCCGCCTGCCCAACAGCGGCCGCTGTTGGTTTGGGACAACATTTGTTGTTGGGCATTGTACCTATTTTCCCGTACCCATTTCGGGCGTCCAAATCTGTCAAAAGTTAATGCAACATGATCGCGGGGCGCCCGCGCATGAACTAGCTTTTGCCGCACAGGCGTATTGTGCACTTCGTATTGGTATGCCTTCGCCAGGCGCAAGCCGTCTCGCTCACTTCCACCCGTCCTCCCAGCACATCCGAGCCTGGGGCTCCGATGCCGAAGAATGGCTTATGAGGTGGGATCCTCCTCAAGCGAATTTCGGTGGGAGAGTGTTTGGTCGGTTTTGCGCGCTGAAGCCCAGTTCGCTCAGCCGCGTCCGGCCTGACCTGTGCCGCCGCGCCATCCCCCGCCGTCCTTGCGAAAAACCTCGCAAAGTGATCGCGGGGTGCCCGCGCAGAAGTCAGACGTTGCCGCAAGGCGTGGTTTGCATGTCATTTGAGAGGGATGGTGCGCGCTCGCGCGCAGCAGGCGATCTGCCGGCACCCCCGCGGCCGCTGCCAAAGACCACTGCCGAGTGATGGCGATGCTGCCCGCGCCTGATCCACACTGTGCCGCAAAGTGTAGGTCGTTTCTGACAGATGGTGTGGGGGGGGTCGTCATGGTTGCTGGACTGTTCCCTGTCGGATGGGGGAGGGGGTGCATATTAGTAAGGACCAGAGATAAGCCTTTCTTCGAGGAGTAGGAAGGGGGTTAGAAGGGGAGGAGCGCGAGACCACCTACGCCCCAAAGGGTTGGTGGGACTTCGGTTCAATCCGACTTACGGATTCGACGCTGAGCGATTTTGTAGAAGGACCAGGACGAGGAAAGACAGGGGGAGACGGATGAGAACGATGACGACGAGAAAAAGGAGAAACAGGATACAGTCGGGGCGCTGGAGAAGGAACCCTTTTCGTTGGGGAGGGGCTCCGTGTTCCTTGATTGTTTCACAGCTTGCCCGAGGTTTTCCTCAGGTTTTCGATGGGAAATCGAACCTTCACTGATGGGAAAAAGGGGCCTCGTTCCTTATCTAGGGTTCCTTAGGTCAACGTCCCGACTGTAGCAGGAGTGTTCGAGAAAAAGGGACAGGGGGAAGAACAGCAACGAGTCCGACATAATGCGCCCATGACATGTTATAATTCCCTGCAGCGCCAGGGTGTTATCAACCGTGTGCGTCGTCGCGCGAAGAATGCATCATCCCGCTTTCACAACCGTTCACTGCTATCGGGGGCGGACAGAACCCCCAACAGTGACACGTCGATTAGTGAATTGTCCATTTTCGGCTCCCGAGAGGGCGCCGCGGCCGCTATTTTCCAGGCTTGCGCCCGCCAGGTTTGGGCGTCAGGTCGTTTTCGCTAAACCAACGTTTTGCTAAGGGGAGGTCTGTCCATCCCCGGTGCTAGTTGTTCTCATCGACCGTGTGATGCCATAAGTTGTTGTCCAGACATATTGTACCAACATTGGTCGGACATCCCTAGCGCCATGGTGTCTCGAAGAGCCTTCACAACCCTCTACGCATGTGCGTATGAGCTTGTCTCCGTTGGCGCCAGAAACTAGCGCAAATTGGCGTATCTCGCGCTCTCTCTCTCTCTCTCTTTCTCTCTGTTTCTCTCTCTCTCTCTTTCTCTCTCTCTCTCTCTCTCGCTTTTTTTTTTCTCTCTCTCTCTCTCTCTCTCTCTCTCTCTCTATGTCGCCAACTCTCTCTCTCTCTCTCGCTCTCTCTCTCTCTCTTTCTATATAACTATATCCGTGCATGCGTGCATATACACATACATGTCGGCGGTGCCTGGTGCGGGGCGACCCCCCCCCAGTAATCTGGGTTTCGAGCTGGCGCCATTCCCGGTGCGAGCCTGCACGAACCCCCCCGGTAAACACGACCTCCTCTGGTAGGCTGCACGACGCCCCCCGGTAAGGACGCAACCCCTCCGTAAGCGGCGTGCTCCCGGCACGCGCGAACCCCAGCCCCGACGCGCGAATCTTACCAGGACGGGCCGGAACACGGCGGCGGCATTGCATCCCAGGGCCGTGCCGGAACACGGCGGCACTGCTCTTCTCTACGCGGCCGTGCCGTCGACCCCCCACAGCGGCTCTTGGGAGTTGCGCCGCAGCCTCTCGTATTGTGGCCACGAGCCCAGCAGTGCGAACAACAGGAATGCCAGTTCCTCCTCCTGCTCGTCGAGGCGAAAGTCGACAGAGGAGGAGGAAGGAAGAAAGGCGAGGCGACGCAAACAAAGGCGAGCAGACGCGAATAGAGAACACAAGGCGAGCACACGCCACACTTCGACAGGGAGCCACCCTTCCCAACCGCCCCCCTGCCCCCCCCCCAACCCACCCCCCACTCCCACCCCCCCACTCCCACAGGGGGGGGGGGAGCCCAGGTAGACGCAGTGCGGCCTGCACGAACCCCCCCGGTAAAGCGACAGGGGAGGACCCAATGCGGCCTGCACGACCCCCCCCGGTAAAGCGGCAAGGGGGGGGGTGTTCTAAGCCTCTGGCGGCACCCGGTGCGGGCTGCACGAACCCCCCCGGTGGTGCTGGGGGGGGGGTTCGTGCCACGGCGCACCGCCAACATACATATACTCTTTGTATATGTATAGCTGTGTGTCCGTCCCTCTCTCGCGTTCGCTCACTGTGTGTCTCTCTTTCTCTCCCTCTCTCTCTATCTCTCCCCTCCTTCTCCTTTACATATGTATAGATGATTTTCTCTTTGCGACTCACTGGCGCATCGATATTATCATCCTCCATCGTCTTCGCTTATTCGGAATTCCAGGTTGGGCCCTCGTCGCCACAGCTGGATTCGCATCGGAATTGCTGTCATAATGCACCCCGAGGGAGGTTCGGAATGAAGCGGTATCAGTATTTGTTTTTCCCCAATGGCAGACTCCGTGGGCCAGGCTCCAATATGATTCGGGTCCGATATACTTCCCCTAAAGTGCCATGAAAGGAACGATCCGATCCGCGATTTCACGACAACGTGTAGAAAACGCAAATGATGTGGGCAAATGGGGCCCCAACGGTTCACTGCTTCTGATCATCAAGTCTCTTTGCCCTTACTCCTCGGTGCTATGGCCGCTTCTGGAGTTGCCAAGAGGCACCCCACGGGCACATTCGACGACGCCGACGCGTTCAGCCTCTGCAGAATACCGGTGCGCATTCCTCCGTCTTTCCACAGAAAGCGGGAGAGGTGCAGACGGAGAGACGGGCATATCGCAAGAGCGATGTGATGAGGTTCCGAGGGAGAAAGAGGGAGAGAGAGGGAGAGAAGCAGGGAAGGAAAGGACGGAGAGAGGAGGAGGAGGAGGAAGAGGAGGAGGAGGAGGAGGAGGAGGAGGAGGAGGAGGAGGAGGAGGAGGGATCGAGAGAGACAGAGAGAGCGGGAGAAAGAGAGAGAGAGAGAGAGAGAAAGCCAGAGAGGGAGAGAGAGCGACAATAACAACAATGAAAACAACAACAACAACAACCACGACAACAATCATTTTCAGATTGTTCGTGTTTATGAGTTCGCGTGCCATTCATCACGTAGATCCCAAACCCTCGATACCCGCCCTCTTCGCCTTTTATCGCACAGGGGGTATAACTTTCTTACCTGCCAAGTGTGTGTCGTGCAGCCCTTAAGGCAGGGGAAGAGGGGACGGATGGAAGGAAAGGGACAAGGGGCAAGCGGGTTGCTGAAGCGTGAGTCCTGCATGAATCGCGAGGGAGTCTCGAGCGATAGCACGATTCCCAAATTATCCCAGTGCGACCCTACCTAGGAGTTGGAGCCCCTAGGAAAGCAGCATTAGTAGTAACAGTAAAGCTAAGCTAAAGCTAAGAAACAGCGAAGCTAAAGCTCAGCTAAAGCTAAGTTAAAGCTAAGCTAAGGCTAAGCTAAGGCTAAGCTAAGGCTAAGCTAAAGCTAAGCTAAAACTAAGCTAACGCTAAGCTAGAGCTAAGCTAAAGCCAAGCTAGAGCTAAGCTGAAGCTAAGCTAAAGCTAAGCTGAAGCTAAGCTGAAACCAAGCTAAAGCTAAGCTGAAGCTAAGCTAGAGCTAAGCTAAAGCAGCTAAGCTGAAGCTAAGCTGACGCTAAGCTAAAGCTAAGCTGAAGCTAAGCTAAAGCTAAGCTAGAGCTAAACTAAAGCTAAGCTAGAGCTAAGCTGAAGCTAAGCTAGAGCTAAGCTGAAGCTAAGCTAACGCTAAGCTAGAGCTAAGCTAAAGCTAAGCTAAAGCTAAGTTAGAGCTAAAGCTAAACTAGAGCTAAGCTGAAGCTAAGCTGAAGCTAAGCTAGAGCTAAGCAAAGCTAAGCTAGAGCTAAGCTGAAGCTAAGCTGAAGCTAAGCTAAAGCTAACTTAAAGCTAAGCTGAAGCTAAGCTAAAGCTAAGCTAAAGCTAAGCTAAAACTAAGCTAAAGCTAAGCTCAAGCTAAGCTAAAGCTAAGCTGAAGCTAAGCTAAGCTGGGTGAACCCAGGGGGCGCAACTGGGGGAACCGCGGGGCGGGGACTGGGGGAACCGCCCGGGGCGCTTTCCACTGCCCGGCCCCTTTAAGCTAGAGAGTAAGAACCCTTCTAGGCAGAGCCTACGTAGGGAATAAAACGTGAGGAAATCCACAGCGAGAGCATGATTCCAGAGTGTCGAGGGTGTGGCGTTTCAATAGAATGCGAAGAGGTCCCACGCGAGAGCGCGATTCCTGTATAATTTGTGAGGAAGTCCCGCGCGAGAGCGCGATATGGGAATACATTGTGAGGAAGGATAAAGGTGGGAGCCGCTGTTGCGGTAAACCAGGGCCGAACAATACAGGTCGGTGACACATCGGCGTGCGAGCGCTGGGAGAAGCATTTCCATTTGAAAAATACGATGGTTACCGAAGGTGGGGGACCAACAACAGTTATGTTTTAGGAAAGTGAACTCAAGACCAATAACAACAACAGCAACAACACCAACAACAACCAGTTTAAGACTGTTCGCTCCTATCTGCTCGCGTGCCACTCAAAACGTATATCCCAAACCGTCGGTACCCGCCCTTTTCGTCTTCGATCGTACCCCCTTGGGGGTATATCTTCCTTACCTGCCACATGCATGTCGTGCTGCCGCTAAAACAGGGGAAGAAAGGACGGATAGAGTCGGCCCGCATTAGTAGGTGGGCCCTGCCAAATCAAGGGTACCTTTCGGTCCTGTGTCTCGCGACCCGTGCCTCCTGTATTCCCATGGCAACGTGGCCCCCAGAGGGGTCTTTTGTCCTCTCGCGTGGCTTGTCCAATGAGGTCCGCCTGTAGAAGGGGGAGGGGGAAGGATGGAACACGAGAGAAATCAGCAGGAGGAGGGCCAGGAGCAGAGAACACGTGGCAGAACCAGCCGGGCAGACCGGCAGACCCTGGCGGGCGCGTCGGGAAGGCGGGCCCGGGCGGCCAGGTCGAGCAGGCCGGCTGCTGAAGCGTGAGCACTGCATGGATCGCCGAAGAAAAAATCTCGAGCGACAGCGCGATCCCCACGTAGATCGCGAGAGAAGCCAAAGCGAGAGCGTGATTCTGGAGTGTCAAGGGCGCGGCGTCGGAATAAATCGGGAATCAGTCCCACGCGAGATCGCGATTCCTGCACTGATTGTGAGGAGTCCCCTCTTATCTGCTCGCGTATCACTCAAAATGTATACCTTCAACCCTCGATACCTGCCTTCGTCTTCGATCATACCCCCTTCGGGGCATACTTACGCGGGCCGAACGATTTTCCTCTTGACCCCGCCCGCGATGTCGGAAGCGCCGCGTCGTTCAAGTGAACGGATGTATGTCGCGTTCGCGTCGAATTGGGGCGTGCCACATGTTACAGGACCCGTCCCCCTCTCTCTTCCTCTCCCCTCCCCTTGCCTCTTCCCTCTCCCCCTCCCTTCACCCTGGAAACGCCCTGCCTCTGTAGAATCATAGCATTGGTCTATAGAGCCACAGCTCCGTGGATATCACGATGCTTCACGTGAAGTGCCACGTGGATCAAATTTCCGGCGGGTCATATAGCATCGGTGCAGTCCAGCAAGGCAAATGGACACATTGGTTTTTCACACGGGAAATTGGATCCGCGCAGCACAAAAATAGGATCCGCGAAATTGTTGCATTCCCGACAAAAATAAATGTGGATCCATTGGCGTTGTCAGTCCCAAGAGGAATAAACGTTCAGCATGAGATGAATGATTTGGCGCACCTCCCGCACTTGCATACAGGGGCGGCGTAGTTGCACACAGGGTCGGCGGTGGCGGGGCGAAAGAGTGGCAGGTGTTGGTGGGGGAGACGCACGTCCAAGTCCCGTTAAGGACTTGGCACACGCCCCGCACTGACACGCAGGGGCGACGCATTTGCACGCAGGGGCGGCGACGGCGGGGCGAAAGAGTGACAAATGTTGGTGGGAGAAACGAAGTTCCAAATCCGGCGACGGATTTGGCACACTTCCCGCACTTGCACGCAAGGGCGGCGCATTTGCACGCAGGGGCGGCGGTGGCGGGGCAACAGGTTAGCAGGTGTTGGTTGGAGAGACGCAATATCAAATCTTAACTTGGCACACACACACACACACGCACAGCGCACTTGCACGAAGGGGCGGCGCAATCGCACGCAGGGGCGGCGGCGCCAGGGCAAAATAGTGGCAGGTGCTGGTGGCGGAGACGCAGGTCCAAATCCCGCGAAGGATTTCGCATACCCCCCGCTGTTGCATGCAGGGGCGGCGCACCTGCACACAGGGGCGACCGTGGCCGGGCGAAAGAGCGGCAGGAGTTGGCGGGGGAGACGCAGCTCCAAATCCCGCTTACGCGGGCCGGAGTATTTTCGTCTTGGTCCTGAGATGTCAGAAGCGCCGTGTTGTTTCAGTGAACGGATGCATGCTGCGTTCGTTTTCAACCGGGGCGTGCCACGTGTGCGGGAATTGGCCGGGCCCGCTGTGGCGTTCAAACAACCGTATTTTGTGGGAGGAGCTGGTGTGATGGCCACGCCCGCTGTGGCGCTCGAGCGCCCACATGGAAAAAGGAAGGTTTAGGGGAGGTGGCTGGGCCCGATGTGGCACTCGAGTTTCCGACCTTGACATTTTGTTTGTGTTCGTCCTCGTCGTCTTCCTTTTTCCTTTCTTTTTCCTCCTCCTCCTCCTCCTCCTCCTCCTCCTCCTCCTCTGTTTCCTCTTCCTACTCGTCCTCCCCCCCTCCCTCCTCCCGCCTTCTCCCCATTTGTGCCTTCTCCCTCCGCCTCCTCTGCCTCCTCCTCCTCCTCTTTCTCCTCCTCCTCTTTCTCCTCCTCCTCTTCCTCTGTCTCTATCTCTGTTTCTGTCTCCTCTTCCTCCTCCTCCTCCTCCTCCTCCTCCTCCTCCTCCTCCTCCTCATCTCTTTGCTCCTCCTCCTCTTTTTCCTCTTCCTCACAATCCCAATTCCCCACCCTGAAGACTCACAGGTAGAAGCTGCCTCAAGCGAAAGTGCTATGATGATTGTACGGCTGAGTGCAAGCAGGAAATGTAAGATGTGCAGCACAGAAATATTATGTTGGCATAGCGGCAAATCTTGGGCTGCAGCCAAGGTTTGTTCGGTTCACCCTAAATATCCATGGCCTCGGGACCTTCGTGTTGTCTGTAATCTCTTTTCGGCGTTAGCACGAATCCGTGCACCAGTAGGTTGGCGCAGTAATCTTGACTGGCCTGTATCGGTTAAAGCAATTTGGCATGACAAACAGAACAGGTAGCGACGTGAAGTGGCGTAAGAGGTACAGAACAAGGGATAGCTGCGTCCACCTTCCCTCTACTCCTCTGAACGGTCCCCCCATCACTCCTCCAACACCAAGTCCTGCCCTCAGTGTGATCAGAACTTCGCGTAGCACCAGAATCTTAAATGCTGCCAACCCAAGAGATCAACGATTGAAGCAGCCGATCTGAAGTCAAAAGCAGTATCTAGAACTGCTTAACGTGCCAGAAGAAATGGAGGCGGAGTGGACCGAGGAGCGGGGCTATTTTCAACCTCTATTCGTCTCGGGCGCTGCTGCGCTCTGGCATACACCGCAACATCAAGGTGCTCCTCCTCCTCCTCCCTCGACTGATCCTCTCCGCCCCCAAAACCTTCTTCGCCACTCCCTGACGCGCCAAATGTGCGCCAAGGCCCATAGAGAGGACACTCGTGCGTACCACGCATGTGAACGATGATCAATGGGGAGACGTACAAGAAAGGAAGCGGAGAGACGTGGCCGGAAGAACTCGGCAGTGGCCCCAGGCCCGGGGCCAATTCGGTCCACCAGCAAACATCATTTTCTTCCGCATCCTCCTCCTCCTCCTCCTCCTCTTCTCTATCCTCCTCCTCCTCCTCCTCTACCTCCTCCTCCCCCGTTTCCTCCTCCTCCTCCTCCTCGTCCTCCTCCTCCTCCTCCTCCTTCTCCTCCCCCTCCGCCTCCGCCTCCCCCTCCGCCTCCCCCTCCTGCTCCTGCTGCTGCTCCTCCTCCTCCTCCCCCTCCTCCTCCATCCTCCTCCTCCTCCTCCTCCTCCTCCTCCTCCTCCTCCTCCCTCCTCCTCCTCCTCCTCATCCTCCTCCTCCTCCTCCTCCCCCCTCCCTCCTCCTCCTCCTCCTCCTCCTCCTCCTCCTCCTCCTCCTCCTCCTCCTCCTCCTCCCCCTTTTTCCTCCTCCTTTTCCTCCTCCTCCTCCTCCTCCTCGTCATCATCATCATCATCATCATCATCATCATCATCATCATCATCATCATCATCATCATCATCATCATCATCATCATCATCATCATCATCATCTCATCATCATCATCATCATCATCATCGTCGTCGTCGTCGTCCGTCGTCGTCCGTCGTCGTCGTCGTCGTCGTCGTCGTCGTCGTCGGTCGTCGTCGTCGTCGTCGTCGTCGTCGTCGTCGTCGGTCATCATCATCATCATCATCATCATCATCATCATCATCATCATCATCATCATCCTTACTCCCCTTCACCCCTTTACTCCTCCCCCTCCTCCTCCTCCTCCTCCTCCTCCTCCTCGTCCTCGTCCTACTCCTCCTAGTCCTCCTACTCCTCCTACTCCTCCTCCTACTCCTATTCCTATCCTTGTTCCTTATTAGAATATACCCCCACCTACGTCGTATTCTGGTTGATAGCGGCCCAATCCGGGACCTCCCATCCGTATTGTAAAACATCAATACAAAGTGGCCGTTTTTCTTGTCAACATCGTCTTTCTTGTCGTCGACGATGCGAAAAGCGTGGCAGGAATGGGACGCGGCGCACATCGCGCGCAGCAGTCAATCTGGGCCCGCCCATCCGTATTGTAAAAAAACAATACAAAGTCTTCGTTGTTTCATCTCAGCATGGCCTGCCTTGTCGCCGACGGTGCGAAATATGTGGCAGCAGTGGGACGCGGCGCACATATGGGACGCGGCGCACATCGCGCGCGGCCGTCGATCCGGGCCCGCCCATCCTGACTGTAAAAAATCAGTACAAAGTCTTCGTTTTTTTTCCTCTCAGCATGGCCTGCCATGTCGCCGACGGTGCGAAATATGTGGCAGGAATGGGACGCGGCGCGCATCGCGCGCGGACGTCCATGCGGGCTGCAGGCCCTCACACCCTGATTGTAAAAACAATACAGAGTTGCCGTTTTTTTTCAACATGGCCTGTCTTGTCGTCGACGATGCGAAATGCGTGGCAGGAATGGGGCGCGGCGCACATCGCGCGCGGATTTCTGGGGCAACCCCAAGGCGGGAGGGGCCGCCTTACTTGCAGAAGCAATGCCATGCTGACTTTCGCTTGCCCACATAGCTGTTCTTGTCGTCCACCCCGCAACAGCGCATGGCAAGAATTGGGCGCGGCACACACCCCCCCCGCTCGAAGTGAATGAAATGACATTCTCGCTTGGGCGCCGAGCGAAATTTTCTCAAAGTTGCGCTCCCGCTTTGGCTCGGCGCACGTTTTTAGCTCGCCAATTCATTGGGCGCCGGGGCGTTCCAGGAGGCCCTGGGGTGACGAATGCCTGGGAGGTTTTTGTTTGTTCAGGCTCTTGGAGCGGCTTCTTGGCGCTACGGCCGTCTGGAGGCCATCTTGGGCGTTTTGGAACGATCTTTCGGCGACTCAGAGCTACTACTACTACTACTACTACTACTACTACTACTACTACTACTACTACTACTACTACTACTACTACTACTACTACTACACTACTACTACTACTACTACTACTACTACTACTACTACTACTACTACTACTACTACTACTACTACTACTACTACTACTACTACTACTACTACTACTACCTACTACTACTACTACTACTACTACTACTACTACTACTACTACTACTACTACTACTACTACTACTACTACTACTACTACTACTACTACTACTACTACTAACTACTAACTACTACTACTACTACTACTACTACTACTACTACTACTACTACTACTACTACTACTACTACTACTACTACTACTACTACTACTACTACTACTACTACTACTACTACTACTACTACTACTACTACTACACGACTACTACTACTACTACGACTACTTCTACTACTACTACTACTACTACTACTACTACTACTACTACTACTACTACTACTACTACTACTACTACCCACTACTACTACCACTACTACTACTACTACTACTACTACTACTACTACTACTACTACTACTACTACTACTACTACTACCTACCACTACACTACACCACTACTACTACTACTACTACTACTACTACTACTACTACTACTACTACTACTACTACTACTACTACTACTACTACTACTACTACTACCACTACTACCACTACTACCACTACTACCACTACGCGCCAGCACCCTGTTGCGCCAGCATTCTTTCTTATGTTGTGGGAGGGTGGAACGTGCCCGTTGTTCCTTTCAACATGGCCAGTCTTGTCGTCGACGTTGCGAAATTCGTGGCGGGAATGGGACGCGGCGCACATCCCGCGCGGACGTCAATGTGGTGTCCTGGGGTATCCTCCACTCGCACTGAAATGCCCGCGCAACCCCCCGTTGTGCCATCACTGTTTCTTATGTTGTGGGAGGGCGGGTGGGAATGGGCATGCCATGCTTGACTCGCTCGAGCTGGCTAGCTTGACTCCTACCCCTACTCCTTCCTCCTCTTCGTAGCCATTTGGGCTCGAGTGAGTCTGCTCACTGTTTACGGACTGCCCCCACTGCGCGGCTGCGCAGGCGCTTGGGCACGCGATGACCAGTCCGCGCTGAGACATCACGGTGCGCCATGGCAATTTCATCGCGCACGTGAGCGATGTGCTGACGGCGGCCAGAAGGAGTTGGCGGAGGACTTGGAGGGCACTCGCAGCGTGAAGTGCCTGAGGGACTTCGAAGGGCTTCCATGTGATGCGCGCGAGGTATTGCAGCTTGGTCGCAAGGCGCCTGGAGAAAACGTTCGGCTGGGATTGGCGAGGCGCGGCTTCAAGGAGTTCACGGGCGACTTCTGCAAATGGCGATCGTGCTGCCGCGCGGCAGTTCATCCAGTTGACGGTGGATTTCCGCGGCGGATTCTCGAAAACCTCCGCGCTCTGGCGAGCGGGCCCTCGGCCAGCGGGGGCTCGTCGGCTTCCGGGGTCGAGGGCGAGCTCGCGGACAGCAAGGGGGATGCCGTGGCGAAGGGGGCCTGCAGATGACCGAGAGCAAGTCAATAAACGAGGTCGCGTGCAACCGCGTCGATGCCAAGCGCGAGGCGGAGGCCAAGCGCGAGCTGAACCACCTGGAGGGCATCCGGCACGAGGCAGCCCGCACGGCGGAGTCCGAGCATCAGTTGGCTAAGCAGGCGCAGAGCATGATGGAGGCAGAGTGCAAGGCGAAGGTCGGGGCCGAGAGCGAGCTGAGCCAGCCGCCTTGAGGGCATGCTGCAGGAGGCAGTGCGCACGGCAGAGGCAGAGCGCAATCTGACGCAACAGTCGCAGAGCATGGCGGAGGCAGTGCGCGAGGCCAAAGTCGAGGTGGAGAGCAAGCTCGTGGAGGCCGAGCGCCCAGCAGAGCATTTCGAGGGCATGCTGCACGAGGCAGAGCGCAAGGCAGAGGCCGAGCGCAAGCTGGCCACCCTGAAGAACTGCGAGTTCGCAGACGAGACAACAACGTCGATTTTTCGGCAGGCAGCCCTCGCGGGCTACGGAGTGGCGCAGCTGTTGAAAGAGGCTGCTGGCTTATGAGGCAGAGTTCTGTGTAGGTGGAGTGCAGTAAGCTTGCGTGAGTTTTTGCCTTCAGAGCAGATTTGTCTCGTAATGTTGCCGTGGGTCCTTCGGCAGTGCAGTCGATGCCGTCGATGCCAGGCTGCTGCCAGCGCGTTTGGGCTAGGGGCCCTGGACGCTGGCGCGCCAGGCGCCCGGCAGTTGCGCGCAACCCTTCGAGGTTAAGCGGCCCATCCCCCGTCTCTCTCTGGCCATCGGCGGGGACGCGACGAGGGATGGGCAGCGCATGTTGGGTTCCCCTCGGCTTTCAATCGATGGAGCCCCCAGGACAGAGAGCAGGCGGATAGGGGTGAGCCCGCTCGTCTTCCAGTCCGGGCGGCGTAAAGGCCCTCTCGGATGGACCCCCTCTGGATGTTTTTTTTCCCCGCTGGACCGTCGGATTATTTCTCTTTTCTTTCTCCCCCAGCGGCGTGCGATCATCCTTCCTCTTCCTTTTTTAGGCTATCACGGCTGAAGGATCTAGCTCGCTGCGTTCTCGAGCGAAGGGGCGAGGCGAAGCGCGAAAGACGCGCGCGACTCGGCGCGCGATGCACCTGGCGGGCGCCGCGGACAACGTGGGAATATAAGGCCGAGACGAGTATAGTAAAAGGAGAGGCGCCCGCCAGGTACTAGAGGTCGGCACTGACCTCAGTAAGGTAAACTTCCACGTCCCCAGATCCATTAACAGCTGGGCCCCATAGTCCTCAGCGGTAGCGCCGCCTCGGCAGGCAAGGCGCCGTAGAAGAAAGATGCGAAGGTAGCGACGCAGAGGTCAGAAGCGAGACTGGGCGCGCAGTCCCGGGGTTGTTGCCCGGGGTTGAAGGTTTACCCCCGAACCGCAAGTGCATCCGCCCCGACCCCCGCGCATCGCCGCCGCCGCCAACCCGCCCCCGACAGCCCCCAAGGTGCGGAGCGGGTAAGCGGCGCAGCGGTTGGCCCAGCGGGCTGGCCTAGCACAGCCTGCGATACAGCCTGCACGTGCTTGGACAGCTGAGGCTGTGGGGCGTGTTTTTTTTTGTGGGTTTCTCCCTCTCCGCGACGTAGAACATGTCGCGCCGCTGGCGGTCTGGCGAGCACTTAGAAGTGCGTTGCCTCCAGTAGCATGCGCGTTGCGGTGCCCCCCATCGCGGGCAGATCGCTCGCGCGCCCTCTCAGCCGTGCCAAAAAATACAATTACTGGGCTGCTACCCTTAGTCAGAGAGCTCCCCCCGAACCCCCAGGCGCACCAGACCCCCGCCGACCGCCCCCGAAGTCTGTGCGAGACAGGCGGCGCGCAGTGGCTGGCCCTGGGGGCTGCCCGGCACAGCCTGCGGCACAGGCTTGCACGAGCGCGCGGACAGCTGGGGCCGCGGGGCATTCAGGACGCAATGTAGAAAGGAACGCTTGGCATTACAATCCTCAAAATGTGGCCGGCGCAGCGTGGGCTGGCCTATGCGCGAAGCTGACAGTGCGCTGAGTACCCTGTCAGGCAGAGTGCGCGGTTGTAGGTAGCAGTCGCGCTGAGGTCTTTCCCTCGTGGGAATATTGCTCACGCGTCCTATCTGCGGCGCAAAAAGCCAGTCAGCGTGCACGTCTTGGGCGGTTGCCCTTATGATGCGATGAAGGTCCGCTAGAGGCGACGGGTGCCATGTTGAGCAAGCAGCAACGACGGGAGAGAGGTGAGGGAGTAGGGGCCGTGAGCAACCGAAGGAGAAGAGAGCCGATGCCCTATGCATCGGGGGTCTGCCGCCCACAGCAGCCGGCGGGGCGCGGCCCCTCGGGGGGGGGGCAAGGGTCCAAGCTAAATCGCTCGGCAAGGTCAACGAGCACGTTGAAACAATGGGTGCGGAAGGTGAAGGCAATGCAATGACGAAGACGACAGCAGGAGTGGAATGTGGCGGACGCATGCGAAGAGAGGCTGGTTGCTGCCAGCGGCACTAGAACATGCTACGACAAGAGAGCATGCAAAACGAAGCGGGGTCGCCTCCTGCAAGCCAGGGGATCCCAACAGCCTAGGCTGGCAATTCTTGCGTTGCTACCCGGGGTTGTTATGGTTTACCCCAAACCAGCTGGATCAGTCTTTAGGCTGACACAGCGTTGGCTGGCCTGGTGGAAGCAAGTCTTGGCAATTCGTTGGCTGCTGTTGTTGGTCTGGAAAAGTAGATCTCGGCTTGAATGGGGGGGGGTCGCTGCTCCGACGCATCCACGTCCCCCACTTCGTCCCGTCCAAACTGTCAACGATCCCTCCCGCAGCAAGAATGACAGCGTAAAGTATGTGGGATAACAAGCAAGCGGAGGTGGACATGGTTGGATTGTTGATCGGTAGCCCACAGTGGGAGTGCCAACTCCCCTATTGCCGCGCCAAAATGGCTGTCGCCCAACTGGAGGTGTAGAAGGGAGGTAGTGGTCCATGCAGACGGTTTTGACTGAAACAAGAAAATGGAGCAGTAGAGGGATGCCAGCGCAATTAGGACATTGAGTGGGAGTGGCATGTGCGATGCCTCCTGCATCCTTTGTCGCCAGCGCGTTTGCCCGTCGACCGTGAGGCGGGGAGGAGATCAGTAGTCGATGCTCCGCTGTAGTAGGCGTGCGGGTGGTAGTTCTGGTCGATGTGGTTTATTGTTGCGTGCCTCCCGTGCGCTCGCGGTATGCTGTGTATCGGGTAGGCTGCCTTGTTGATGTCGTAGTCGTAGCTCTGCGCCTTAAGTTCGGGCGGTGCCTTGTACAGACGTAGCATTGGCTTGTGCGGTGGTTCCGTATAAGGTTCTTGTGGGAGGCAGTTGTTGTGCACATTGGCGAGGTTTTGTTTGTGGCGTGTCTGGAGCGAGCGGAAGAAGGTCGGGTCGCCTTTGACGTGTGCGAAAATCATTGCGGTTGTGGATGATGTTGCGGTGCTCGTCAATCCTCACGTGGACAGTGTGGACGGCAGGGACACGGCTTACGCGGATTGGGACGTAGGCGTGTAATGCGGCGTAGGTTTGGGGCGCCAGGGAGCGCAGAGGGGTGGTGTCTTGGCCGCGAGGGTGGGAGGTGGTAGCGATTTTTTGCAGGCGGTGTGTCTGTGGTCGGCGGTGATGTTGGCGGCGCCGTGGGTGTGGTCTGGGGTGTGGGTGTCGGGTTGTTTGTGATGTTTGGTGATGGGGATCGGGTAGGTGCCTGTGGTTTTGTAAAGTGTGTGGTGGGTAGTGGTGGTGTTTTCTTAGGAGGTGGTGTCGGTTTGGTCGTCCGTATTGTGGGCGGTGCCGTTGGTCTGTCTGTGGTCTCGGTTGCGTCGGTTGGAGTGCGTGTGAAGTAAGGTGGGTGTTTGTTTTTGTGGGCAGTGGGGTGTTCTTGGCTGGTGCCGGTGATGTTGATGGTGCTGGTCGGTCGTTGGTTGTGTTTGTTGTTGTCGTTGTGATTTTTTCGCTTGTGCTGTCGGTGTCGGTCGGTGGCGTGGGTCTGGTGATGTTGGGGGCGATGGTCGGGTTGCAAGTGCGTCGTAGAAGCGCGGTAGCGTCGCGTATGTTGACTGCCCAGTCGGATTGCATCTTGTTGTCGTCGTTGTTCTGCCCTCCTCCTCTATGTCCTCCTCCTCCTCCTTCTCCCCCTCCTCTTTCTCCCCCTCCTCCTCCTCCCCCTCCCCTCTTCCTCCTTTTCCTCCTCCTCCTCATCCTCGTCCTCCTCCTTCTCCCCTTTCTCCTCCTTCTCCCCCTTCTCCTCCTCCTTCTCCCCCTCATCCTCCTCCTCATCCTCCTCATCATCCTCCTCGTCTTCCTCCTCATCCTCATCATCCTCCCTTTTCCCTCCTCCCTCCTCCTTCCCCCCCTCCTCCTTCCTCATGTGTCCTCTTCTATCCCCCTCCCACCTGCGTCCCCCTCTCTCAGCCCCTCTTGTCACGTCGCCTCCTCCATCCTCCTTCTCTTCACCCTGGGAGAACCCTTTTCCCCTAGAGTCACAGCGATGGTATGCAGAACCACAGCTCCGTGGATAGCATGATGCCTCATGCGCAGTCCAGGATATATGTATATCCTGGACTGCGCATGCGGCATCATATTGTTCCAGCTGAGTAAACGGCTGCAGTAGTTTTCCGCGCACACACACACACGCACGCACGCACGCACGCACGCACACACACACACACACACACACACACACACACACACACACACACTCACACACACTCACACACACTCATACACACTCACACACACAGACACAAACACACACACGGGAAACGAAATCTCCGCAACACAGAAGTCTGACGAACGAAATTCTTGCACACCCAAGAAGGGGATCAAGTTGGATCCATTGGTATTGACAGATTTTGATTTCAAAAGAAAGAACTCTCGGCAAGGTGATGTATATACGGTCGGACCGAGATCGGGTCGGGGAGGGTACCCTCATGCTCGTCGTCTTTGTTGGATGTTCTTGTGCATCCGGGGGGAGGGTACCCTCGAATGTTCTTCAGTTCGGTGTCTTCGTTAACTCGCTCTGGTAAGGCTGGGGTTCGGGTGCATGATTCGGCTATGTGCGTCCGCGGAGTCGGCAGGGCTGTTCCGCGCTCTTCGGTTCCAATGGCGAGGTGCGGCTTTTGGCAACCTCACGCTCGTTGGTGATGGCGGCGCGGAGGCAATCACCAGCCGCAGGTCGACCCTGCCAAATCAAGGGCAAGTTTGTGCCCTGTGCTTCGCGACCCGTACCGTCTGCACTCCATCGGCGATGTGGCCTTTGGGAGGGTCTTGAGTCCTCTCGCGCGGCCCCTCCCGCGTCCACAGAGAGGGGGGGATGACTGGGAGGGATGGGTATCACGGCTGGCGCCATGAAGTCTCCCTCGATTTCGTGGCCACCTCTTCTCACACCTCTGGCCCTTCCTTCAGCCAGGAGGAAAAAAAACGCACAGACACGCTTAATCGTCGACTCCCCAGAAAGTGTGGGAACATATGGAAGGGGGGGGAATACAAAGACCCAGAACATGTAGGAAAATATGGGGAATCCTGTTATCGTGTCTATCTACTTGCGCGTCCCAGGGCCCCTTCAGCAGGCCGCGCACGTGCCTCGGGCCATGTTGTGCGAGCCCCAATATTGGACGCCCCCCTCTTGGACCTCCTCCTCCTCCTCCTCCTCCTCCTCCTCCTCCTCCTCCTCGCCAAGCTCCAGCCGCGCTCTGCTTTCTCGGCGCATCGTGCTGGCAAAAACCACGGCGCCGGGCTTTTAGGTTTCGCAGCAGGGGGAGGGGGGGCAGCGAGGGAGGGGGAGGGGGCCGCCGCCGCTGACTCTGCAGTAGAGAAGCTTATGAAATAGTCAGTTCCCCGGCTATAGCGAATACTGTCGGGTTGATCACACACCCCGGTCCACAGACTTCCTGCACTGCTTCGGTGCGGGAAGCCCCAGAAACAAACGTTCACACGACGCGGAACTGTCAAACAGAATTGTCTAACAGATTGTCGGCTCGCCTCGTGTACGTTCACACGATGCGGTCCAGGTCAGAAGGTCGGCTGACAAATAACTACCGCCACCGCAAAGGTCGGTTTCCTGGCTATTCCAGGGGTTCTAGACGGATTTCGGCTATTCCAGGAGCTCTAGTTCCAGAGTTCTGGCCTGCCCTTCCGTTCTCGGCGGGCCGAGCTACTGGCAGCGCGCCGCCAGCTCGCACCTCTTCGAGGTCTCCGAGCTTTAATTTCTAGCCCGCGGATCGGCCGAAAACGGCCGGTATTTCAGGCAACCTTTTGGGGCCGAAAAGGTTGCCTGGAATACCTGGGTGTTTTTTCCGCATGGGATGTGAAAGCGAGCATCTATCTCAGGAGTTTTCCTTGCCGCGTGGGGCGCGGCTCCCTACGGCTTCTGTTTTCCTGGCCTGCCTTTCCGTTCTCGTCTATGGCGCTGTTACTGCCTGTTCTCGCCGCCGTTGGCCCCTGTCCCCGTGCGGGGATGGAGGCCACGAGCATGTGGCCGCTGCGTCGTCCGCTTCGCTTGAGGCCCGAGGACTCCAAAGAACCCTAGAGTGCCCGCTAGCCCCCGAGAAAAAAAAAACTCATGCGTTCCTGATCATTAATCTGCGAGGGAGACGCGGGAGGGGAGGAGAGGGGAGGGAGAATTTCCCTTCCCCGCTCCCCACTCCCCCGCCCCTCCCCTCCCTCGGGTTGCAACTCCTGGGAGGTTGAATTCAGCGTCTGCGCTGTTATATCCGTGGTCGAAAACCTGTCTGATACCGTTCTATCGCGCCCAATCCGGCCTAATCCCGTTGAGTCATGGGCGCAATCTGGGCCAATCAGCGCGGTGGCCCCAACATCCGGCTTGGTTGCCCTCGAGCGTTCTTGCGAAGCCCCCCCGAAAGCTGCCTCCTGACGCCCCCCGCGCGTCGGCTGGTGCCCCCCCCGGCGCGGCCGGCCGCCCAGCTGAGGGAAGAGCACGGCAGACACGCCCCTGCCTTGCACTCTGTATCGCTCGGACGCGTGCACTTTCTCTCGGCGGGGATTATTAAGGAGCATCCTGGATCATCCTGCGAGAAAGCCGCGCACGAAACCGAAAAAAGCACAGGGAGTGGACGTCCGAGCGATGGCCAGTGCAGCGTGCGAGCTGCCGCGTCCCAGGCCCCAGGCCAGGCTGCCTGCCGCTTGCTTTGGACGCCCTCAGGATCCGCCGACGTCCGCCCCGACGCCGGCTCCGACACTAGCTCCGACGACGTCGTCGCCCATCAGCGCAACGGGCGACCCGCACATGACCTCGGTAACCGGCGCCAAGTTCGACATTGTGCGGACAGGCCCGGGGGGGTTGGGTCCTCCTCCTCCTCCTCCTCCTCTTCCTCCTCCTCCTCCTCCTCCTCCTCCTCCTCCTCCTCCTCCTCCTCCTCCTCCTCCTCCCCCTCCCTCTCCTCGTTGTTCTCCTCCTCCTTCTCCTTCTTCTCCTCCTCCTCCTCCTCCTCCTCCTCCTCCTCCTCCTCCTCCTCCTCGCGAAATGGGGCTGTTGCGCCCACTCCCGCCTCCTCTCGGCGGCGACGAGGAGGGCGAATGGCCCAGGGGCGGGCAATTCGCCAGGGAGCCTCGCCGAAGGCATGGGCCATCGGCGCGCCTGGATAGAGTTCCCCCCGGTTGGTTAGTTATTCGCCCCTGTCGACGCCTCCGATCCTCCTCCTCCTCCTCCTCCTCCTCCTCCTCCTCCTCCTCCTCCTCCTCCTCCTCCTCCTCCTCCTCAGCAGCGACCCAAGACGCAGGCGATGTGGTTCTGGAGTTGCTCTCATTCGGAGAGCCGAGGATGGCTCCTGGGAGCCCGCCTCGGGTGTTTCGTCCCCCCTCCTGGGGCCGCGGCAGACTGTGTCGCGCGCGGAGATAGCTGCGCTCGCCATCGCTCTGGAAGAAACCACGGGACCCATCATTTATGTCATTGATTGCCAGCCAGTCCTGGATGGTTGGAGAGCGGGTCGTGCCCACGGCAAGTTAGGCCCGAATCTGGACGTGTGGTTCCGGGTGGCGGTGGCGTTGCGGAATCGGGGGGAGGCTGAAGTACAGGTCGTGTGGACGGCTGCCCATCTTGAGGACTCTGGCAAGGCTCTCAGTGCGTGGCAAGTCTTCCTCACTGCTGGCAACATGTGCGCGGATGAGCTGGCGGGGAGAGCGGCGGACGAGGCCTTGTTCCAATATACTCGTCAGCCTGCCCCCAGCACTGACATCTATGATTGCATCGCCCACCTTGTCAGGCGCAGGGCCAGACGTGCGTTGATATGCTCACTCCAGGTTGACCCCTGGCAAGCTACCAGGCTCGCCAAAGTGCGGGTACCCCCCCCCTCCAGGAAGGCCGTTGCCCTGAGGGACACCTCGCATGATTGCGAGCAGGTGGGGAACAGGTGGCGTTGTAGAGTGTGCTGTCAGATTGTGGCCTCCACCCAGCTTCTCAAGTTTTGTGCCCAGTCTTGTCCTGGTCTGGCCCCTGAGGTCCGAGGCCAGAAGTCGGAGTGGAGCCAATTTGTGTTGAGAACTGGTGAGATTTTGATAGGGGCCACCTCGGCCCACTCGTCCCACAAAATCTTCTACTGGCCTGAGTTTTCCTTGCTTTTTTGTGTTTCTTGCGGGCTCACCGCCACTGTGGATGGTAGGTGGCTCGCAAGACCTTGCCAGGAGCCCTCCCCCAAAGGAGCCCAGAACCTTGACAGGATCCGTCGAGGCATTTTTCCCTCGCACAGGGGACCCCCGAAGGCTGTGCTGCTGGCCTGCGCGCGGCGGGAAGCTTCGGATGCGGTCCAGCGTGCGAGGGAGGCTCGGGAGGAGGGTAGTATTCTGCTGGGTCACGGTGAGGGGGGTGTGGGTGGAGCGGCCCGTCGACCCACCAGGATCCCTCACCGTGACGGCGGGGACTCATCTTCGGATTAGTCCCCGCCCAACCCGTTTTGTTTTGTGGACGCTTGTCCCTTCATGGTCACTTCTGGTCCTCCTCCTCCTCCTCCTCCTCCTCCTCCTCCTCCTCCTCCTCCTCCTCCTCCTCCTCCTCCTCCTCCTCCTCCTCCTCCCTCCTCCTCCTCTCCTCCTCCTCCTCCTCCTCCTCCTCCTCCTCCTCTCCTCCCTCCTCCTCCTCCTCCTCCTCCGCCTCCTCCTCCTCCTCCTCCTCCTCTCCTCCTCCTCCTCCTCCTCGTCAGCAGCATCAGCAGCAACAGCAGCAGCAGCAGCATCATCATCATCATCATCATCATCATCATCATCATCATCATCATCATCATCATCATCATCATCATCATCATCAGCAGCAGCAGCAGCAGCAGCAGCAGCCTCAGCACCCTCATCATCACCCTCATCACCATCACCCTCATCACCATCATCGCTATCCTCACCATCAGCATGCCTGCCTCGGGCGCAGCGCCTGGGGCCCCTGGGGGCCCTGCTCTCCCTGGGGGGGGGGGAGGCGGCCCTGCCCTCGACGCGAGACGCCATGGCCCGGGCGGTGGCCGCGGGCCGTCCCCTGCGCCGGCGCTGGTCAGTCAGGAGGGGAAGAAACACACAGACACAATGAATCGTCGATTCCCAAGAACATATGGGAAGATATGGGAACTGGGCGGGAGGACAGAAACCCCGAGAATATGGGGACATATGGGGAATCCTGTTATTCGTGTATATTTATTTCTGTGTCCCAGGGCCTCTTCAGTCGGGGCGGCCCTGCGCGGCGAGGTCGAGAGCGGCGCGCCCAGACGGGCCTCGGCGGCCGGCCGCCTGCGACCGCGCCCCCCGCCACTGGAGGCGGCGGCGCCGCCGAGGGCGGTGCGCCAGCGCGCCTCCATCTCCTCCTCCCTCCTCCTCCTCCTCCTCCTCCTCCTCCTCCTCCCCCTCCCTCCTCCTCCTCCTCCTCCTCCTCCTCCTCCTCCTCCTCCTCCTCCTCCTCCTCCTCCTCCTTCTCCTCCTCCTCCTCCTCCTCCTCCTCCTCTTCCTCCGCCTCGAGGTCATCCAGTCCGTCGTCGAGGGCGGCGTCCGCGCGGCGGCCGGGGAGCGGTGCCCGCGGGTCTCGGGGGGCGGGCGCGCGCGGCGGAGCGCCGCCGAGCACGCCCTCGCGGCGGCGGCGTGCCCAATTGCGAGCGAGGGCCTGCCCAGGGCCGGCTCGGCGGGGAAGCAGCTCCGAGGAGGGCGGGGTGGCCAGCGGCAGCGCCGGGGCGGCGGCGGCGGCGCCCGGGGAGGGGGCACCCGCTCAAGGGCTCGGCGGCGGACCCTCGGTGCGCAGGCCCGCGGGGCGCCCCATCGAGCTTGTCGGGGAGCCTCGGAGTCGCTCGGGCGAGTGCATATTTTCTCGGCGAGGACCATCGAGAGGCATCCTGGATCGTCGCGCGGAACATGCACGCACGGAGGCGAGAAATGCACGGGGAGTGGACGTCCGAGCGACGGCAAGGGAGCGCGACGAGCTCGCCGCGGAGCTCCTGGAGACCCGCGCCCTGCTTCGAGGCCGCCGCCTGCGTCGCCGCGGTCGGCGCCGTGCTCGCCGTGTCCAGCGCGGAGCGTGCGCCGCGGGGCCCCTGGCGGCCTGCACCCATGCAGCTCGACTCCGCCACCTATGCCGCCGTCACGGTGAGCCCCAGTAGGGTCTCGCGGTGGCCTCCCGAGTGGCAGCACATCGCACCTCAGCTTGGGGGAGGCAGACCGCCGCCAGCCTCGTCGGCTTCCCGTCGATGCCTCTGGCGCTGCATTGGCCGGGGTCGATCTCCCCTGCCCGCGGCGCCTCGAGCAGGTGGCCCAGCTCGGGGAGACGCAGGCGCCTGCGGCGAGCGCGGCAGCGCAGGGCCGTGCCCCCGGGATGGTGCTCGCGGAGGCCAGGGCGGCTTGGGCGCGCTGCCGCCCCCGCGGTGCCCGCCGTGCAGGCGGGAGGGCGGCGGGCGGTTAGGGCCTCGCCTCGCCTCGCCTGCGCCTCGCCTTGCCGAGCGTTGCCTGCTCGCCTCGGCGCCGCAGGGGGCGGTGCGCGCCGCGCCAGGCGTCGACGCACGAGGAGCGCCTCCTCGCCGCGCGCCCGGCGCTCGGTGAGCTCTGCGTCCGCGCCTGCCCTGTCTTCCGTTTGCAGCTCGGCCCCGCCGCCGCAGGGCGTTGGGCAGAGCGTCGAACACACGCGGTTGCCTTCCTTGGCCTTCCGCCGTCAGCGCTTTGCAGGCCCTTTGCCTCGGGTACGGGTTCCTCCGCCTCGTCCTCCTCCTCCTCCTCCTCGTCCTCCTCCTCCTCCTCCTCCTCAACCTCCTCCTCCTCCTCCTCCTCCTCCTCCTCCTCCTCTTCCTCCTCCTCCTCCTCCTCTTTCCTCCTCCTCCCCTTCTCCTCCTCCTCCTCCTCCTCCTCCTCCTCCTCCTCCTCCTCCTCCTCCTCGTCCTTCTTCTCCTCCAGCGCCAGCTGGCACGAGCGCGGTGCTCGGGGCCAGCCAGCGCCACGGGCGCCGCCGGGCGCCGCCGCCCCCTCCCCTTTCCCCCCGCCGTCCCGGCACCCTCCCTGGCGGCATGGAGGCGGCCGCCGCGCCTCGCAGGCGCCGGCCGAACCGGCCCGCCGCCGCGCGCAGGGCCCAGCAGCGCCGCGCGGAGGGGCGCGCCGTCGAGCGGCTGCTGGCGGCTTTCGCGGCGCTCAGCAGCCACCGCGGCTCAGCGCCCACCCGCCTCGGCGCCGCCCTGGCCGAGGCGCTGCAGCCCGCGGGAACGCGCGCAGAGCGCCGCGCCGCGGAGGACGAGGAGGACCCGCCCCTGACAGCGGAGGCCTACCTCGACCGACTGCGGCGGCGGCGGCGCGCGGAGGCCGAGCGCCACGAGGCGGACCAACGGCAACGGCAGCAGCGGGCGGAGGCCGAGGACCGCGACGCCTTCTACGAGAAGGTGGAGGACCAGCTGCAGGCGAGCCGGAGGGCGCAGGCCACGGCCGACGCGGGGCGCTTCTCGCGGCTGCGCGCGCGCCTGGACCAGCAGGAGCGGCAGGCCGCGGCGGAGGCCCCGAGGGCGCAGGCCGCGCCTCAGCTGACGCCGCCAGTCGCGCAGCACGCCGAGGCCAGGGCGCTGAAGCCAGCTGCGGTACAGGCGGCGAGGGCAGCCGACCCGCCGACGGCGACGGAGCGCCTCGCCCAGGCTAGGCGCCAGGCGCAAGCCGAGAGGCTCCGCCCGAAGCCGAGGCCACCGCCCCCTCCCGCTCGGCAGCGACGCGAGGAGCAGGCTGCGGAGCGGCGCTGGGCGGACCTGGCGGGCTTCGCGCTGCAGGCGAAGGAGCCCAGCGCGCGGCTGCGACGGCTCCGAGCGGCCGAGGGCGAGGAGGCCCTCGCGCGCGGCGGGCCGAGGGCCGAGCGGCTAGCCGACGCGCGGCGCCGCGCCGCAGACGCCCGCGCGCAGCTGGCCGCGGCGCAAGCGGACGCCCGCGCGACGGAGACCGCGGCGCGGACGGCGCAGGCCGCGCTGCTGCGGGCGGCGGCCGCGCGCCAGGGGGCAGCTGAGGCCGCGAGGGAGGCCGAGCGCGACACGAAGGCGGGGCAGCAGGACGAGGGGGCGGACAAGAAGATGCTCTGAGTTTCGGCCTGTGGCTGTGTAATGCTTAGAGCTGTACGCGGCCTGTGGACCCCTAGCCCGCGGGGCTGCGCGGTGTGCGAAGATAGCTGCGCTTCCCCTGGGGTTGGCGTTCCTGGCCCGCGCCGCCTGCGCGCAGTGCAAGCACTGTTGTGGGCGGCCGACCTGCGCACGCGCGCCCAGAGCGCGCTCGCGCAGGCGAGCCACGAAGTGGCGGCCTGAAAGAGCTTGGAAAGAGCTCCTCCTCCTTCTCTCTCCTCCTCCTCCTCCTCCTCCCTCCTCCTCCCTCCTCCTCCTCCTCCTCCTCCTCCTCCTCCTCCTCCTCCCTCTCCTCCTCCCTCCCTCCCTCCTCCCTCCTCCTCCTCCTCCCTCCTCCTCCTCCTCCTCCTCCCCTCCTCCCCTCCTCCCTCCTCCCTCCTCCCTTCTCCCTCCTCCCTCCTCCCTCCTCCCTCCTCCCCTCCCTCCTCCCTCTCCCTCCTCCCTCCTCCGTCCTCCGTCCTCCGTCCCTCTCCTCCCTCCCTCCCTCCCTCCCTCCCTCCTCCATCCTCCTCTCCTCCTCCTCCTCCTCCTCCTCCTCCTCCTCCTCTCCTCCTCCTCCTCCTCCTCCTCCTCCTCCTCCTCCTCCCTCCTCCTCCTCCTCCTCCTCCTCCTCCTCCTCCTCCTCCTCCTCCTCTCCTCCTCCCTCCTCCCTCCTCCTCCTCCTCCTCCTCCTCCTCCTCCTCCTCTCCCCTCCTCCTCCTCCTCCTCCTCCTCCTCCTCCTCCTCCTCCTCCTCTTCCTCCTCCTCCTTCTCCTCCTCCTCCTTCTCTTCCACTTCTTTCTCATCCTCCTCATCCTCATCCTCCTAGTCCGCGTCCTCCTCTTCCTCCTCTTCCTCCTCTTCCTCCTCATTATCACCATCATCATCACCACAGATAGGTTAGTAAAATCATAATATTCGTCATCGTCACCATCACCATTATCGCATCATTATAAGTGTCAGCGTCATCAACAACAGCAGCAGTATGTGCATCAGCATCGCATCAGCATCAGCATCAGCAGCATCATCAGCAGCATCGTCATCATCAGTACAATGCTCATCATCGTCATCCTCATCATTTTTCGCATCGGCACCATCATCATCCTCATCATCAGCAGCATCGCCATCATCGTCATCATCATCATCATCAGCAGCAGCATCACCAGCATCATCATCGTCAGCAGCAGCATCACATCACAAGCATCGTCATTATCCGCGTCATCATCATCCGCATCATCATCATCAGCATCATCACCATCTTGATCATCATCATCATCATCATCATCATCATCATCATCATAATCATAATCATAATCATCATCATCATCAGCATCATCATCATCATCACCATCATCATCATCATCATCATCACCATCATCATCATCATCATCATCCAGCACAGGTCTCATCATCGTCCCTCCTCTTCGACTCCTCCGCGTGTCGCGGGCAATGGCAGGCGCGATTGCGATAGGCCCGGGGGGGGGGGCGCATCGACCCGCCATCGCCCGTGCATCGCCCGTCAGCCTGCCCCGTTCAAGGACACGGAGATTCGCTATCGGTGGTTTTCCGCCGTTGTATCGGCGATACATTGCCGATTCGAGCTCGACCCCCCCCCCCCCCCCCGAGCTGTCCCCTCCCCTTCTCGGTCCCCCCGTCGGAATAGTTTCCGCCCAGGGGACGGAGGACGTCAGATCCTTGGGGCATTCCTTGCGCTCCGACGCCGCGAGAGTCCGCAGCGTCTCGCGCACAGGTACCACGGCTGGGGCCCTCGATCGTCATCTTCTCTTCCTCCTCCTCCTCTTAATCCTCCTCCTCCTCCTACTCCTCCTCCTCCTCCTCCTTCTATTCCTCCTCCTTATATTCCTCCTCCTCCTCCTCCCTCCTCCTTCTCCTTCCTCCTCCTCCTCCTCCTCCTCCTCCTTCTGCAAAGCGTGTCTCCAGCCAGATCGATCCGCGAAGCGCTCTGGGCCCGAGGAGAGGCGGCATTGCTGGCCGCGTTTGGTCCACGGCGCCAGGGCGTGAGCCGAAGAAGCACAGACGTGCACGAGCATACTGTTTCGGAGATCCCCGCGGACTTGCTGGATCAGATCTGTGCTTGTGCCCCCCGCCCCCCCCCCCCTGGCGCGCCCCGCGAGCCAGGGAGGGGGAGGTCCAGCGCAGATCCGAGAAATCCGCGCGGAGCTTCGGAACTTCATTGCTATGCAGTTCGTTTTTGTTTGTTCTGCGGCCACTTGCGAACCCTGCCCCATACGGGTCCACGCGACGTTGGGGCATCGGGCGCCCCCGCTGGAGCCTTGGCCGCAGCCATCTTTCGAACGCTGAGAACCCCAGCCCGATTCTCGCACACCCGACCTGCATGGGTGGGGTCCACAGGCGGTTGCCGATCTTCCTCCAGCGAGGGGGGACGCCGCCGAGTCGTCGACCCGTTTCCACGTACTTTCTGTGAAAACCTAAAAAAACGCATGGCGGGGCGATGGGTCCCGCAGCTTGGCCAGGCAACCACACGCTGCTCCACATCCCGCGGCACTCCGCCGCAGACGATGCCTTGATCGACGTGCGGGGCGTCGTGAAGCACGAGGGGCCGACGTGCCTGGACAGACCCCCACCTCCGCTGGCTGTGCAAAGACGCAGTTTCTTACAATTTTCGACCTCCAGGGGCCCTCCCTCCTCCTCCCTCCTCCTCCCTTTTCCCTCCTCCTCCCTTCTCCCTCCCCCTCCCTCCTCCTCCCTCCTCCTCCTCCCTCCTCCTCCTCCTCCTCCTCCTCCTCCTCCTCCTCCTCCTCCTCACCGAGCCCCGCGACAGTGACAACAGCGACGTGGGATGACATTCTGGCCCCATGAAGAGATTCAGATTTTGGGGGGCCTCTTGCTGAGAGAGAGGGAGAGAAAAACAAAAAAAACAAATAATAATAATAATACTACAACAATAATGTATAGCTTTATATATATATACATATATATATATATATATATATATATATATAACAAAACAAAACAAACAACGACGTCGGAACTCTGGGGACAGGAGGAGGAGGGGGAGGCTGCTGTTCGCCAATGTTGGTGCAAAGTGGGGGAAAGCCACCCCGACCCCCATAGCTGGCGTTTACTGGGCAGTCTTGGGCGTTGTCCTTCCTCAGGTGCGCTACGACGTTCTCGGCACCCGTGCCTCCCTTGCCGGTGGCGCGTCGAGTGGGCTTTGCCAGTGGTGTTGTGGGCGCCCAGCGCCATCGAAAGCGCGCGCGCTCGCTGTGCTGCGTTGTGCGCGGGCACAAATTTCGCGCCCGCGCCTGGCCCGCGCGCAGGCGGGCGAGCAGGGCGCGCGGGCCGCCTCCCGCTTTCCTGCGCCTCGCGGCGCGCGGCCCCACGAGAAGGGCCCGCGCGCGCGAGGGGGGCGACAGCATGTGCCTCGCGGCGCGCGGCCCCACGCGAAGGGCCCGCGCGCGCGCGAGGGGGGCGACGGCATGTGCCTCGCGGCGCGCGGCCCCACGCGAAGGGCCCGCGCGCGAGGGGGAAGCGACGTCATGCGCGTTGCTCGTTTGCTCTTCTGCTCGCTTCGCGTCGAACGCCCCGTGCAGGCGCGCCGCGGGGATCGCGTCGGGGCGGATCGCGGCGCGCCTCGGGGTCGCGCGGTGTGCAGGCATTGGTGCTTGCATCTTGCAGGCATGTGCGCTTGCGTCCCGCCGTGGCGGGCGGCGCGCGCGCTTTCGCGTCCGTGGCTGCCCGTCGTGTCGTGGCCGCTTGCCTGGTCGTGTCCTGGCCGCTTGTCGTGGCTGCCTTCCTGGCTGCTCTGCCTCCTGTCGTGGTCGTCTGGCTGGTCGCGTCGCGGCTGTCTGTCGGCGCGCCGTGGGTGTCGCGTCGTGGCTTCTCGCCGTCGTGTCGGGGCGGTCTGGCTTGTCGTTCGCCGCCGCGCGCGCGCCGGTCGCCGCTCTCTTCTCCCCGCGCAGGTTCCTTCCTCGCTCCCTCCTCCGCCAGGCGCAGGTACTTCCGTCATCCTCGTCGACAAGATCCCCTCGTCTGTTTTGCTGGCTCGATCGAGGTCAGGACGACCCTTTTCTGCCGTGGGCTGGCCCACGCTCTGGCTCCGCTCTCGCGCGGTCTCTCGGCTGGTGTCCTCGCGTGCTCGCTCGCCCGCGTGGCTTCTCGTCTGGCTTTTCTGGGGCCCACTAGGTTCCTTCGCTGGTGAAAGCCAATGCGGCTGGTCTTACACGGGCGCATATTGTCCGTCGGCCCCAAGTGGCCGTGCGGGGCCAATACGGCCCTCGCAGGTGATCCGGCGCAGGCCAATACGGCTTGTCATCATACGGGCGCATATTGTCCGTCGGCCCCACGTGGCCATGCGGGGCCAATACGGCTTTCGCACTTCCAACGCCGCTGCAGGCCAATACGGCTTGCTATCGCACGGGCGCACATTGCCCGTCGGCCCCAAGTGGCCGTGCGGGGCCAATACGGCCCTCGCAGGAGCTCCGGCGCAGGCCAATACGGCTTGTCATTATACGGGCGCATACTGTCCGTTGGCCCTACGCGGCCATGCGGGGCCAATACGGCTTTCGCAGGTGCGCGGGCCCAGTCGGCCCAAGCGATTGGCTGCTCCTGAACCCAATCGGCTTACAACGCCGGCGCAGGCCAATACGGCTTGCTTTCGCACGGGCGCGTATTGTCCGTCGGCCCCATGTGGCCGCGCGGGGCCAATACGGCCCTTGCTTGTGCGCGGGCCCACTCGGCCCCAGCGCTCGGCGGCTCTGGTGCAGGCCAAGACGGCTTGTCATTTTGCGGGCGCATATTGTCCGTCGGCCCAGAGTGGCCACGCGTGGCCAATATGGCCTGCGCCGCAACGCGGGCGCTCCCTTCGCGTCGTCGCGTCACCTCTCCGTCAGCGTCAAGCGCAGCAACGGCTGAGTCTTACGCTGTGCGCGCACACGCAACGCGCCGCTTCGCGACGGCCGAAGGCGCGCCGGAGACCCTTCGCGCTTTTCTCGAGCGCGTCGAGGGGACGGGCACGCAGGAGGCCGCCTGGTTCGACTCGGTCGCAGCGGCGCCGGCAGCCGAGAGCACCACTGTGCCCTCAGAGCTGGCCGGGGCCAAGTTTGAGGACTTCCGCTTCCAGAATGCCGATCTGGATGGCGGCAAGAAGCGCTGCGTCCGCGCGGCCATCAAGATGGCCGGGCGCGAGAAGGTCGGCGTTCCCGCGCAGCGCGAGCGGCGTGCGCGGGCACGCTCGCGCGCAGGGGGATACAGAGGACCAGCAGCAGGCGGCCGCGGGATCGGCCAGCGGGGACGCCAGCGCCGCCCTCCTCGCGTTTTTCCAAAAGAAGGACGAGGCTCGCCGACGCGACAGCGCGCGCCCGCCGCCGCGCGACGTCGCGCCCGTCGCGTCGCAGGCGCCCGCGGTGGCCCACGTGGACATTTGCGCCACGCTCAAGACCGCGAGCCTCGAAGGCTTGCCCAGCGACCTCCTGCCCAGGCGACGCGCGGCGCGCCACGGCGGGGCGCGCGCGCCATTTTGCGCGCGACGCTTGCGGCGTAGCTCCGACCTCGTCGATGAGCTTGCTAGCGAAGTGGCCAAGCTGCGGAAGCGCGGCATCGAAAAAGGCTTCGTCAACGTAAAGCTAGCCAGGTGGCTGCCGCAGCACCTCGCCGGGGCGCTCCGCGACGCCGACGAAGACGAAGCTAAACTTTCGGAGGACCTGAAAAACTTGGCACAGGCGCGGCGCCTCATAGTCGCGCGCGCCCGCGCCCCGCCGTTCGTCTCGCGCGGGGCCATGGGGGCGAAGGCGTCGCCCAAGCGCGCAATGATGACGCTCAGCCAGCTTCGCCTCGCGCGGAGTCGCTGCGCGGTCGGTGCCCACGCCGCTGGCCAGCTGAGCTACGCCGCGGCCGCAGCCAATCGCGACGTCTGCATGGCGGTGGGCCTCGGGGCGGCCCGCAACAAGCGGCGGGTGCAGCTCGCGGTCTATTATGACGAGCAGGCCCGCAAAGATTGGGCGGCACGCTCGCGCCCTGGCGACCCGACGTTCGTGGCCCGCCCGCGTTTTCTTGCGAATGTGTTTCCGCGCCGCGTCGGCCCCGTCGGTTGCGCGCAGGCAGATCGCGCGGCGAAGCGCGTGGACATCGCGATCTTGAGTCGCGCAGAGGAGGCCTACGATGCCGACGAGGCCGCGGCCAAGGCGGCGCCGGCTGAGCCGTCGGCAAAGGGCGGCAACAAGGGCGCCCAGGCCCCCACGTCGCGTCGGCTCACGCGGGGCAACAGCATTCTTTCGCGCAGCGCGATCGCAGGTGGCGACGGGCAAAGCCGTCGCGGGGAAGGGCCACGGCTCCGCGAGCGGTGGCAAGAGCGCGCAATGGTCGGGGAAGCGCTGGAACAGCTGGGGCTCGGCGGGCGATTACCGCGGGCACAGCTGGGGCGCGGCGGATCTCGGCGGGGAGGAGAATCGCAGGCCGCGCACGCCCCCGAAGGCCGTCAAGAGGGCCCGCCCCTAGCGCCGCAGCTCCTGGGCGCAAAAGGAGCAGCGGGCGCGCAGAGCACGTTGTCGCGCGCGGGCTCGCGCGGTGTCAAGAGTGACAGCGCGGGAGCCGAACAATAGTCGGCGCGCGGTGCATGCGAATTTAGCCGAACCATAATCGGCGCGATGCCTTCTCAATCGTCGCAACCTTCGCAAAGCAATGCGGCGCGTTGCTTGGCCTGGTGCGCGCCGAAATTGCGCGGGCACATAAACAGCCGACAGCTCGGCTCGCGCGCTTCATCATATTGCAGCGGCCGCCGCAGACGCGGCTTGTTCCTCGCGCTCGCGTTCAGGTCCGTTGTTCAGCTTTCGCTGTGCTCCGACGCGTTCGAGGCTACTTAATTCGTCGCGTCTATTTGCAGTGCGAGGGCGGCTGCCGCCGCCTCCACCAGCGCCGCCGTCGGGGCGTGACCCTGCGCCGCCAGCTCCCCCAGCACGGCGGCGCTCGCGGTCTCGCGGCGCGCCCTCGACGAAGGCCCCCGCGCGCACCGCGCGGCCGCATTGTCGCATGTCGCACTCCGCTTTGCAGGCGGCGACCGACTGGACCGCTCGCGCGCCTCGCCAGGTGGACGCCGACGATGTGGGGAAGCTACAATTCGTCGACGACGCGTGCCGTGAGCAAGTCGATTTCGAGCCAGCCGTTGACGTCAGCGCAGACGTCTGGGCCGCAGTGGACTGGGTGAATGCGCGCCAATCGGACCAGATTAATGCCGAACGCGAGCGCTTCATCTGCGACATTGAAGCTGAGGCGCGGGCGCTGTACGAGTCGGGCGACGTGGCCCGCTGACATGTAGGGGCCGATGCAGGCGCGCGCAAGGTGGCGACTGGCGTCAACGGCCCGTTAATGGAAGCGCTCGCCGCTCGTACCGATTTCCAGGACGCCGCGTGCATCGAATACTTTCGCCGCGGCGCGCCAGCGGTGGGCCCGCTCCCAGTCTCGGGAAGCGGCGTGCCTGTGCAGCGTCCCGACGCGCAGCCGGTCTCAACCGTGCTAGGGGGCGCCGCTCAAGCCAACCGCGCGTTGCTGGCGCCCCTCAAAGAGGACGCTCATTCCGCGACGCTGCTGCAGCTGTCTTTCAAAGAAGCGCGCATG